GCAGTCAATTTCGCTTCGGGTGAATGTAGTGGTAAATCGACTGGTGCCGCTGGTGACGATTGTCCGCTCTTTCCTCCGGTTGGGGTATCATGGGAAGTCGTTGGAGGTGAAGGTTGTGTAACTGGCTTGTTCTTGTTATCAACTGGTTGCAGATCCTCGAGTGTCGGCTGAGAAGAGATGAGGAGGTCTTCGAAGTTGAAGGTGGAGGCTGTAACTTCTGCTGATGGACCACATAAGTCTTCGATAAGTGTATCGACCTAGAAGAACACGTTGATTGGAATGAGGGCAATAAGCATATCACTTTCTGTGTCCACATTTGAATAGGATGGCGTACCGAGGGTTCTTCCTGGAGGCCTACGTCTAGGGCGGTGTGAGGTGACGTTTGGGTCTCGTTGTACGATTCGTAGAGCAATTTCTACATACAAAGAAACAGGTCAGATAGCCAAATAGGGTGCGGTTGGGGTGGAGTTGGGTGCGTACCTGTTGTGGGTCGGGTACAAATGAAACAGGTAACTTTGCTTCATTGTTGATGATGTGTTCATTCTTGATGATCGTTTGGATCTTCATCAGTACATCCTGCCGACAATCTGGAGCCATAGCGCATAGTTGGGCTCTGAGATTGGGGATAGTGGTGTCGACCGATTCCAGCGACTTGAGATCGGTTTCAATGGCATAGATCGGCTGTGCGGGTCGAGTTACGAGAATGGGTTTCGTCAAGGTCATATGATCATTTGAGTGATACGGCTGCTGTTCTTGAGGTGGCTGTTGAATCAAGTTTGACATGTCATTATCGAGAGGATTGGCGTCAAGAGGATTTGCGCCGAGCCGTTCTGTGTCGTTGTCAAGACAAACTCCTGGAGCTAGAATGGGAGGCGCGTTCGGCTTCTTGGACTTCTTGCGAGGTTTCACAGCTGGGTCGGGGGGGTGATTGTTACCGAGGTGAGTATGGATAAGAATCCAAGAGGAGGTTTGGTAAAGGTATCGGGTGTTGATTTCAAATGGACATCCGATTCGTGCTGATTTTGTTGTTGCTGCAACGCTTGCAGGGGGATAGCCCAATCGATAACAGTCGTACTTTGTAACAGCACTGCTGGTAAGTTGTGAGTTGCCAATTCGGATGCGATAGCCGTGATTTGTCGCTGGAAATGATGCCACGTATTTGTCCATCTTGCGACGATCCTTGTCATGAATCTCAATAATATCAGGTACTGGAAATTCATATTTGTTCTGTTGTGGGTTCATTATTGGTACGACGTATTTAGGGTGCTGTAGACTAGTTGCGAAGTTGAGAAGAGCAAGGTAGAAGGAGGTGGAAGTACATCAACACCTGATGTAGTATGATTTGCTTATCGCAAGGATACCAGTAATTCTTGAAGTTGTGAGATTTTGGGAGTGGAGTCGTGATATGGATGGGATTGTACTGGTCGTGACATTTGGAGGTCAAGTGGTCATATACGATCTGATCGTGATATGTGTGTAAGGGTAGTGGGTTGTATGATGGTGAGATTTGTGATTTGGTAGTGAGATTGTGTGCTTGAGTAGTAATATATTTAGTTCAGTAGTGAGATTGTGTGCTTGAGTAGTAATTTACTTACTTTAGTAGTGAGATTTGTGATCTGGTAGTGAGATTGTGTGCTTGAGTAGTAATTAGGGGATACAAAGTAGAAACTGGGAGTTTTTTCCCGTTTTTTCCCAGTTTCCCAGTTTTCGATTTTGGCTGTAATTGTGAAACTGGGAAACTGGGAGAACGTTCTCAGTTTTTCTCTA